GACCTCCACATGCAACTCAAGGTGTATCTGTAGCCCTTACACAGGTCATCCTGTGACCTTCATTGGTTATCTATCATGGGGAGGGTGAGAAGGCCGGGATAACCTACAGGTTCAACCTATGTGCAGCAAAAATAGGGGATGGTGAATATAAAATTCAAAAACATTTATTAAATACGTACATCATACAAAGGACCATGCCTGGTTTAGCAAAAGGTACATAGGGGATAAAGCCAAAACTCCAACCATGAAATGCTTTGATGCCTAACTTGCATATTTCCTTCTGCAACATAGGTAGTGTTTTCTTCTATTCCTATAGTAAAGATATCCTGATGGTTTCAATAATTCACAATTATTTCAATCCGATTCAATTAACACTGAGTACTAGCCAATATAATAATAGACTTGGGCATTATTCCAAAGGCTTTTTTTTTTTTAAAGATTTTAATATCATTTACATTTTCATATTCTTAAGATTATACCTTAAGGGCCAGCAGGTGGCATGGTGGTGGAGGTACTAGACTCCTACGTGGCTGACTGCAGTTTGAGTCCCGGACTTCGTGGCTTACTTTCTCACTTTCTCTCTGTGCCAAATTAGGACAACAACAACAACAACAATAATAATAATAAATAGAATTAAATAAGGAATTCTTTTCTAAAAAGATTATATTTCAAGCTTTTGCAGAAGTAACCTTGAGTAATTTAATTGCACTGTGGTCATATAATGTAATCCAAGAAGTACAGAAATGCCAACATTACTAAAGGATGTGTCAGGGAAAAAAATGTGGAAGTGAGGAAATATCTTCATGGAAATATTTGTATCATGCCGGTTGGTGACACTATATGTAGAAAGGCCGTGATGACTCTAGTTAATGAAAGTAAAATTTAGGAAGTTGAGAGCTGAGTTATAGACCGCAACAGATCATGCACAATGCGTGGATAAAATTGCAAATCATCCTCAAAAATGTGATGATCAAGATATATCCTCCATAACATTTCAATCTTGTGAAATGTGTTGATACTTTTTCATAGCCCATATTTAGTTTCTTTTAGAAAATATTCCCTGTGCACTGAAAAAGGAATATCATTTATTCAATTGCTGGATGAAGTGTCCGTATATGTTAAGTTAGTTTCTTATGTCGTTAAGTTAGTTTCTTTTAGAGATTTTTGAGTTAAGTTAGTTTTAAGTTAAGTTAGTTTCTTATGTTTCTCCTTCAATATTGTTATGGATTTTTTTTTTAAATCACTTGGTCTAGTTAGTATTGAAAAAGTTTGTTTAAATTTTTAATTAAAGTTGTGGATTTTTCTATTGCTCTTTTTCTGGTCTCTCCATTTGTTTCATGCATTTTGATAATATATTAAGTTAATACAATTTAAGGATTTTTTTTTTCATCTCTTGTAGGAATTCTCCCTTTTGATTTTAATTCATCCTTCTTTCTCCAGGACTACTTGTTTCTTGAAGGCCTATTATGTTTATTAGGGTTTCATTAATAGACCAATTATTAGCAAATATATCAATAATTTATACTGATCATACATTGTCATTATTAACAAGTAATGTGGGAAGTTGGAGGGTGTGGGCCCAACACTAGTGCTAGATCTAGGACCACAAGATGACCAGGTTCTTGTTCTAAGATCAGGAAGAATTAGAGCTGCATACTCAGAGGGGATAGCAAAGAGGAGTTTATTAAGAGAGGGAAGGAAGAATAGAGCTCCCAAGCAGGGAGGGGTCCCAGGAATGTATTGCTTAAGAGGAGCTGGAGATGAGGGGTTTTTATCCAACAGTAGGAGCAATGGGCTGGCTATCTGATAAGGAAGCGGGCTTTAGAAAATAATTACATGGGGACCAACAGATGGTGTAATGGTTATGTCACTGGCCTCCCACATAGTCAACCATGGTTCAAGTACTGAACCTGGCAGTTTAAAAGTCACACCATGCACATGTGCGTGTGTGCCCAAAATCCCAAGAGAAGACTAGAGAAGAAGGGACTGCAGTGGTCATCCCCGCTGGGGGTTAATTTCTCACTTACTATCTCTCTGTCTCTCTGAATCTTCCCAGTGCACATGTGAGTCCCCATAGAAAAAAATCTCTAAAAGAAATAAAATAATAAAATAGTTACATGGTTGTTTGAGTGATTTATTATCCTATTCTTATTGGGGTCTGCAGACCATAGCATTCCATACTTCTCTTAGAATGTGTAATGGTTAGTAAGTAGAAACTATTGCCCTTAGCTATAGTTGCTTTGAGTACCAGTGCAGCCATCTTTTGGCTGTTTAAACTTAAGCCATTGTGACTCCATCTTGGGCCTGTACCCTGTCTGTGAGCTCAGTATCCCTATCTTCTGCCTTATCAGCAAGCAGTCAGAAATTCTTTAGAGAAATGTAAGAGGTGTCTTTTGTACATCATAGAAAAGAAACATAATGGCTTCATTATTAAAAAAAAAAAAAAACAGTGACTTCCTTCCAGGGCCCTTATTTTGTGTACCTATAAGCAGGGTCTAACTCCTATCTCATTAATAACTGATACCCTGATTTATTGGTTGTACTTAAGTCTACTATCTTGCTATTCCAGTTGCCCTGTCTTCTTAAAAATAAAGTTCAAAAACTTGGAATGACTAGGTTTTACCAAAATTTTTGTATATGTAACACATTTTTGCGTATCTGACTTCAGCTCAGTGCTCCCTAATGTTGACATTTTAGATAATCCTAGTACATTTATGAAAACTAAGAAGTTAATAGTGGTACATTGCTATTATCTAGACACTAGTCTTTATTCAGAGTTCACCAATTTTCCATTAATGACTCTTCTCTGTTGTATGGCCCAATCCAATCCACCCATTTCATTTAATTCTTCTTTGACTGGTGAAAGTTTCTGTGCACTGTCTTGTTTTTATTTTTTTTTTTTTATGACTTTGATAGTTTTGAGAAGAAATTGTTAGATCAGTTTTGAAGAGAAACTGTTGGGTCTTTTGCCAAATGTTTCCCAGTTTGGGTGCTTATAATGTTTCATTCATGCTTATGCTAGGGTTGTGGGTTTTGTGTAAGACTTAGATGGTGGCAAATGCCCTTCCTTTCCCATTATATCAGAAAATGCATGATATTTACATGGTATATTTGCATGATAAAACCGTTCATCATGACCTTAATCTCTGTGTAAGGTTGTATCTGCCAAATTTCTCCACTATAATGATTTTTTGTCTGTCTTTCTTTTTTTCCTAATCTTCTTTTTGGAAGCAGTTCATTAAAACTCACCCATACTTATGTGAGGGAGAAAATTAAGCCTTAACCTTCAGGAAGGGAGAGACTTTACCCATATTATTAGGAATTCTTCTGTAAGAAAGGATCATTCTTTCTTCCTCTGCCCTATTTATTGTTTTGTTCCTTTATTCCTTATTTTTTGATATCTTATGCTCTCCCAGTAAATACTAGTTTAATGAAACATTTTCTGTATTCTTTTGTATTATTCAGGTATTTCATTTTATTCCATCTTATCTCCTTTTCTGATTTTTAAGTCCAAAATGTTGCACTTTCTTTTTTAATGCTTACCCTGAAAGTTACAATTTTGATTCTTGCACATTACAATGTTTCTTAATATTTTCTGTAACAATTGAAGAAACATGTTATATTTTAAATCTGCTTACCTCTCTATATGTCATGTGTGTTATTATTCTCATGTATTTTACTTTATACTATGGACATATCAATTCAGTCATAATTACTATTATTACATTTATTTTAAATGTATCTATTCTTAGAAATGTTTTAGTACCTGGGCACTCATTGAAGAGAGAGAGAGAAAGTGAGAAAGCATCCTTCAGTGGGGATGACCACCCCATTCCTTTCTCCATTCTCTTTTTGGGATTTGGGGCATACACTCACACATGCCCAGTGTGTTCTACAAGCCCCCAATCCAGGATCAAACTATGTAGTTGGTCAGGTGGTATTGAACCACCTTAGCCATCACACCCCCTGCCTAGCTCATTATTGTTATTTTTAAATAGCATAAATTTTAGGAAGAATTCACTTTTCCACCTCCTGCTCCCACCCTCACTAAAGAGAACTATGTCATCGAAAAACCACTTTTCAAAAGAATTCAGTAGGAACCCTTGCTAAAATATTTATAAAAACTCAAAAGTGTGTCATTTTAAACAACAAGCTAATTATCTATTTTTAAATAACAAATTGGTCAGTGGGAAAAACAGCAATATTTTATACAAAGCTAGAATTACTCAGTGATGGGGGATACTGTGCACTTTCTAAGACATGTATTTTACTTTATACTATGGACATATCAATTCAGTCATAATTACTATTATTACATTTATTTTAAATGTATCTATTCTTAGAAATGTTTTAGTACCTGGGCACTCATTGAAGAGAGAGAGAGAAAGTGAGAAAGCATCCTTCAGTGGGGATGACCACCCCATTCCTTTCTCCATTCTCTTTTTGGGATTTGGGGCATACACTCACACATGCCCAGTGTGTTCTACAAGCCCCCAATCCAGGATCAAACTATGTAGTTGGTCAGGTGGTATTGAACCACCTTAGCCATCACACCCCCTGCCTAGCTCATTATTGTTATTTTTAAATAGCATAAATTTTAGGAAGAATTCACTTTTCCACCTCCTGCTCCCACCCTCACTAAAGAGAACTATGTCATCGAAAAACCACTTTTCAAAAGAATTCAGTAGGAACCCTTGCTAAAATATTTATAAAAACTCAAAAGTGTGTCATTTTAAACAACAAGCTAATTATCTATTTTTAAATAACAAATTGGTCAGTGGGAAAAACAGCAATATTTTATACAAAGCTAGAATTACTCAGTGATGGGGGATACTGTGCACTTTCTAAGAGCATTAGCTATTCCTCTTTAGGAAGAGAAATGACAGGGAACTGCCAAGTTAAATGTATCCTAAGTTAAATGTATCCTAAGTCTAATGGCAAACACTGGGGGCACCCAGTAGGAACTACCAGTGAAGAAGAATGAAACAAAACACAAAATCTAATTTTTTGTATAACGTTTATTTTCATGTCATTCATAAAAAAGATGTAACAGGAATTGTAACTTCTCTGTTCCAAGATGAAGAGAGACATCCCATAATGAACATTACACAAGGCATTATGCCTTACAAGCAAGACATAAAATGTCGAAAGGAAGCTTCAACATAAAAATGTTGACCACATAATGCGCAATAATTTCAATAAGTAACAACTGAATTTTTTAAAAAAAGTTTGAAAACAGAGGTGTGCAACATTCCCGTACTCTCGCAGTGAACTCATGGTCCAGTTGCTTGAGTGTCTCCCCCACCCTCTACCACAGTGGCTGACTCTCCCAATAAATACTAGTTTAATGAGACATTTAAAACCCACACTTTTCAAATTAAATAATAACCACAACTGAGCTAGGTTTGATGAAATGGATGAAACACATTCACATCTTTAAATACTAACATGTAAAATATTAAAATATGAACTGTGGCAAATAAATAAATACATTTATAAATAAATAAAATCTCCTAAGAGTCAAACACATAAGGCCCTTCCCAGGTGTCTCCAGAAGCCAGCTGTCCTCGTTTTCATTTTCATCTTCAGTAAGGGCAGGAACTCTTCTGCAAGAATCGCCCCTGAGGAGTTTCTTCCTTTTCACCAGGTCAGTTGGTGCTGCCCCTGTGACAGGAAAGACTTATTGTTAGTTCTAAGAAAAGTGTTCTTAGTAAGCTAAGAAAAGCTAACCTTCTCTTCCCCTGGCCTCTATAGAGAGGGATTTCTGCAGATGTGCCCAGTCCTGCACCAGGGAGGGTCTGGCTGGGTCTACTACCTGTGCAGCAGAAAAGAAGGACTCCTGAGTGATTTTTGCTGAGGAAAAATCAGGCTATGTACTGAACTATTCTTTGAGACAAAATACAATGCTCAGTGAGTGCAGGTCACACCAGGCGAATTTACACGCACGACCTCACGTAAGCCACAAACAAGCCTATGAAATACCACATTATGGTGAAGCTCAGGGAAATTAAATAACGTTCACAGAGACCATAGTCTGGAATTTAGGAGTTTTCACTGCAAAGTCCCCTCGGTTGTCATGAAGATCTAGGGGCCCATGTTGCCCCCAACGAGGGTTCCACTGAGGCAAGTACTGTTTTTGGATAAGCAGGAGACTTACTGTTTCTGAAACACCCATTTCCCACAGTCAACTGAATAAAGTCTGGGTATGGGCCTGGAGGGCACTTAAGTATCCCCTGGCACCAGGGCAGACTGAGCTCTCATGGCTAATTTAATGATGAGATTAACAGTGACGTTTCTGTCCTGCACTAACCCCTGGGTTCCCTGACAACTGCACGCGGCACACGACAGCCCTTGGGACAAGGACTGCAGGCTCCCTGTGAACAGAAAGGCCACTCACTTGTTGAGCATCTTCTCCATGAACCTCTTAACCATGGGGGCTGCGGGGTTGAGACAAGCTTCCTGCCCATTCTTGAGAGTGGCTCTGCAGAGAGAAGGGTGTCCGCGTGAGCCAGGAGGTCGGGCTGGGGTCAGGGTGGGGGCTCGGGATTCTGGGCGCACTCTGGCGGGGAGGCGGCAGGATGGCGGCGGGACTTACATGACTTCTGTTTGGGCGCAGTGGGCTCCTGGGGCCGTCACCTTCACGCTCTGGATGTTCTTGGGGTGGATCCCGTGCACCGTCTGCAAGCACTGGCAGCGCAGTTCAGAGGCCACCGGAGCCCCTGCGGGGAGAAGAGGTCGGTTAGCGGGGCTGTCCCCGGATGGGCGCTTCCTGGACCCCGAGTCCTGACCCGCCCCGTGGGTCCCAGGGCTCCGGGTCCCACCTGCTGCGCGCCGGCTGGTGGCAACCAGGAGCAGGAGCAGCAGCGAGGCCTGGAGGAGAGGGACGGCGGGTGTCGCGGCGCGGGGCATGGGGCTCAGCTGGAGGGTCGGAGTGGCGGTGTCTGGAGCCGGAGAGTTTGCGGGAGGTGCCTGAGGTCGGGGCTCTGTGGCTCCGGGAGAGCGATGAACCCCTTTTATGCATGGCTGTAGCGGGAAGACCCGGAGACCTGGGCCAGGGAAATTCCCGGAGCTGCAGGTCGATCTCTGAGCCCGGAAGGAATGCAGCGGCCCCGCCCCCGGGGTGGGGATGGGTGCAGGGGACCCGCCGGGTGCTGCCCCCGCCTCGCGGTCCTGCGCAACTCCTGAGGACTCTGGGACTCTGGGATCGTGACTTTTTGCCCCAAATCCCCAAAGGAGGCGTGTGCTGACGGCGCTGGAGTTTCCGCGCGTGAGCGCCCCGTGATAGTGGATCAGACTCGTGAGACCCCCGTAGGTGCTGCCCACATCCTCACCAAACAGTTGAAACGTCCCTGGAAGACACTTCAGTTGTTAAGACTGAAAGAGTTAAGGCCGGGAAGGTAACTTTTCCCTTGGATCGCTCCTCTTCCTCTTTAACTGACAATATGCAGATTTTAATCTCTTTGGAATAAACACACTCTTTAAAATTATATTTGTCAACCGGGGTTACAAGCTAGAACGTTTGTTTTGTTCCTGGTGTTTTATGATCTCAGTAAGCCTTCTTTAGTGTTAGGTTTTTCTGGTGTTTGGGTGTAGAAGTGGGGGTTGGGGTAGACCATGTCCAAGGTTAATTTAATATTTATTTTCAGATATTGTCTTGTTTTCTCCCATCTTTCCTGTCTTACAAATTCTGCAAACTCTGGTAATACCAACTTTTTTTTGTTGTAATGGGAAGCTCTGTTTTGATTTATGAAAGTCACTGGGTAACTGAGAGGGGCTGTGCTGGGCTGAAGCGTCAACATTTCCTATATTATTGCCCATACACAGCGGATAGCAAAGGTCTTAGACACCAGGAAGCCAGCACATGCCGCTCTCCCATGACTCCTGCCTCCTCCTCTAAGTGCAGGTGTATCTTTGTGAAATATGAAAATACTATATTACCAGTACACCAGTATAATTTCATCTTGTGAATTGACCTGCATCCTGGGGTCAATTCCCTCCTTCCTTTCTTTGTCTTCTTTTTTATTCTATTTTTAATTTGTCGTTTGGGCCCCCGTGCTTACTGGAGAGAGACAGAGAACTCCTCTGAGGATTCTGGGCCCCCCACGCACCTGTGACCAGCATCATTTACAAGCCTGCAGAGGCTAGGATCCAGCAACCTCAACCACCATGCCATGGGCTGGTCCTCAATTCCCTCTTGGGAAATAATACTTTCCTTTCTCTGTGAATGTCCACAAAGCATTTGCACATTTCTAAGTCTATTTAACTGCCTCCTTCTCACTGGTTAATTGATGGTTCACCACCAAATTCAGTGTTTGTTTGTTTAACTTAACTGTAGGCCGAGATGATCTACTTGATTCTCCAGGGTGGAAGCAGACCCCAGGCATATGTGAGAGACTCTGCCATGACAATGAGAAGCACTGGGGAGTGACAGCGGAGGAAGAAGCCCACTTGCCTCAGGAACCCGTGTTCCCTGGTGCAGCGCTGTGGAAAGTGCTTGGTAAGGTTGTCAGGGCTGAGATCTCTCAGCTACCCTGCCTACTGGCTGCGTGAGATTGGCCATTTCTCTCATTTCTCTTTGCTCATGTATTTCCTCTGTAAAAGAGAACTAGTAATAGTGCCCGCTTCAGATGGTTCTTAGGAGTAGTAAGGATGATAAATGACTATCTCTCTGCGTTGGGTGTTAACAGCTGGCTGCTCAGACTTATGTATTAGATTGTTGGAAAAGTCATGACATAGTGTCCTATGTTTTTTTTCTATGCAAAAACGTGTCATGAATTTCTCAACGACCCTACAATTCTTTGAACTAAAGAAAGATGGAAACTATTAGTTGGAACAATTCCCAGACCCTGCCAAAATACTGACATGAGTAAATACTTAGGAAGAGTAGAATTTCCATATTTATGCACAGTCACCATCTGAAGCATGAGACATATCCAGAATCAGCTTGTTATCTATAAAATTATCTATGTGACTCCTAGAACTTGTTTAGTCAAAATCATTTGTTTCCAAAAATGACACACTAAGCCTGTCTTTTCTTCCTCATGTAGAACCTTCCATGATTTACTTCATAATAGCCCTATGTTTCAGAACTTTAAAAGAGCACCAGTGTTATGAAGTCTACCACGACGAACACATCTCTCCTCGTTTAAACGTGTGCACACCACTTTTAGATCCCTAAGTTGTAAACCCATGCAATCATTTAACCCAATGAAATCATCTCTAAGAGAGCAGCTTAGTTTACTAAATATCATTCTACCCTGTCACTTTTTTGTACCTTTCAGATGTAGCTAAATAATCGCGTATGCCACACAATCTAGGGGCACTGCTCCTGCCACTGCTGAGCCATGCCATTGCTAATCAGGCTAAGGATTGAGCCGTGTAGATCTGCTTTACCCTGACTTGCCTAGTTGACTTGACTGACATGACTGCCCCCCCCATCCCATTTCCTAACAGCTATAGCTTGTAAAGCTTGTGGTATAATGACTCTGCTCTGGAGGGAGAAAATGAAGATACCTGAAGATGTTACCAGATTTGAAGATCTACCACCTCTCTGTCCAAGGGAACCCAGCTGAGCCATTGTGCTAACCGCCACTCCCAGTCTCTAAGTCACCAATTGCTCTGCCTGTCTGGGGCCTACCCTGCCATGCTCTTAAAACAATCCTGGTGTTCCTTCAGATGTCACAGTTGTGATTCTACCTGTAGATGACTGAGCTAGAGTATCATTTGGAGATTATGAAGTGGTAGATGTTAAGAATGGTGGAATCTAGTTAGGGCAGATGGGTGGTAAATATGGTAGAAAGGAGAGGGAAGAAGCTTAGTTGTCTACCATATATGATATGTTCTACATGTAATATGTGTCTATATATAATTAAATTGTAGCTAATGAACACATTTTGGGATATTGTGGGATTGTGATTAGAGGGTATGGATGGTAGAGGAGGGGAACTCTAAGAAGGACTCTCAGAGTTCTCAGATGTACTTCTTTTACAAAATATATTTTATTTTATTTCATTTATGATTATCATTGTTATTATGTTTTAATTTGAACAGAAAGAGAGAGAGAGAAAGCAAGCTGCCAGGTCTGGGACTCAAACTGTTGTCAGCCTTATGGGAATACAGCACCTCAACCATCATGCCACCTTGCTGGCCCCTCTCATATGTACTTCGAGCTGAAAAAAGATGGGAAATCTGCTTTTGGTAATGTCAAAGTGGGAGAGTATCATATCTATAAACTTTTAGGAACCAGATCGGAGCAGTAATAAAGTAATAAGTGACATTACTTTTCTTAACTAACTCTTTATTTTATTTATTGAAAGAGAGGCTCTTTAGTTCTGAGAGGCTCTCACTAAGCTGTGGTCCTCCTTCGAGCTTTCCAGCCAGTCACAGGACACCCAGCATGTTCAGGTCAACCTGGGATCCGAACCCAGGCCTCTCACTTGGCTCTTGTCCATTGAGCAGTGACCTTTGACCTGTACCACCATGGCTGGGCCATCTCTTAATTCTTTAGTGGGATTCTTTATCCCTGCAATAAAAACGTCCTTACCAAAACCCCTCATGTTAACCACATTGTTTTCATAGCTATGCTTAACATTTGAAAACATTCCTTAAGTCTCTGCTGTGGTTTGGCATTTTTTAAGATTCCAAATGTACCAGGGGGCACAAAGTTTGCTCCTCTGGAGTAACAGATTTAGATGATAAACAAATAATTACGACAGATTTTAGAGATAGGTAGGATGGTAGTCAGGATAAGGTGTTTGAAATTACAGAATAGAAAACAGATTAGCCAACGTTGTTGGCTATGAAGGTTTGTTAGCCCTAACTGTTTATGTTTACTGACTCTGGCTTTCGAGTTTTACTGTCACTTAAGACTGGACAGTAGCATAGTCCTCTTCTCATGTCTGACTTGGGGAAGAGGCTAATAATTTATGCAGCTGTATAGTATGTTTATTTCTTTGTTTGCACTAAAGAATTAACACGGCCTTTCAATTACCAAATGCTCTGAATACTTCATAGCTCATAAACACAGTGGTTGACAAGCTTTGTGGGCTTTTTATTTGATGTATTTGCAAAATGTGGTTTATATGTATTGGGCTAAGTTTTTCCTTATTGACTATAGCACCCCCTGCTAGAGTTAAGGTCTTGCTAAAGAAAAATGCCTCCTCATCTGTGGTTCCTTAGTGGGTTTCTTGGTAGCTCAGGGGTAGTCATCACTGATGTTTGAAATGACAGGCATTCTGGGGCAAAGCAGTAGGGAAGGGAAGGGGAGTATTTAGTCAATAGGTTCCAGCTCTGTCACATGTAATGAAAAAGCTTGAACTTTTAATACTTTCAAGGATGCTAGGAGGTAGTTATGAAGTTTTTTATTTTATAGATAAAGAAAGTGGAGTAGCAGGTCTTATCTGTAGAGATAAAATTTGAACCCAAGACGGTCTGACTCAAAAGGCCATTGGCTTAAAACCATTCTTTCTCTAGACAAGGGAAAAAAAATGATGGAGGAAGAAGAAACCAGGGAGAGAATCTTGATCAAACTTGTGACTGTGTTTTAGATTTTATGGGGCCTTTGTATCAGTAAAAAATAGTGCATTTTAATCTTCAATCCAGTTGTAGTAGGAACCAAATGGAAATACAGAGGTGACCATTGTTACTAACCCCCAGAATCCCAAAAGCTTGGAGGCCCTTCTGCTTATTGTGCTACCCCTATTCCAAACTCTTCACCCCATAAAGCTCTCAGAGATTCCTAGCACTAGGGAAGGATCTGATATTCATATTGAAGGCAGATGATAAGGAGGATACGTGAAGGACTAAGTGAGTTCAGTGTCTTACCTCTACTGACTCTCAAGTCTTTGAGAAGGCATGAATAGGAAGGTATAGGGCTGGTTTCGTGGTCTAGCGGTTATGAGAGCCAGTGGCCCTCCAGTTCTCATGAGAACATGGCCACTGCATGGTTCATTTCTTGGCCCTAGCAGTTTGATAAGCATGCCAAGCATGTGTCCATGTGTGCTCCAAATCCTGAAAGAATGGAGAAATGGAGGAGGAGGGATTGTGATATGATAATGCACCATTTGAGGGATGCTTTAATCACTCCCCATCTCTCTCTTTCTCTCCTTTAAGAATTTTTTGTTGTTGTTGTTGGCTGTTGGGTGCCTGTGCTCACCAGAGAGACAGAGAGAGATAAACAGAAGAGAGAAATCACCCCTGGAGAGATGGCCATGGTGCAATTTCCTCTCCTCCATTCTCCTCTCAGGACTCTAGGCAAGTATGCACACGTGCCCAGTGTGAGTTTGAAGCCACTGGGCCCAGAACTCAAACTGTCATGGCCATGTGGGAGTCAAGCGATGTAACCGTTATATTATTTGGGGGTCCCCCTCACCATCTCTTTGTCTCTGTTTCTGGTAAGTGTATGTACCCTCTACTAGTAACAAGAAGAAGGTAGACTCCCACATGGACTGTCAAAGCCAGGTTCTGTCATCAAGAGATTAGAGAAATACTTTTAAACTACAAGTCATGGTTCACTAGTGGGTCATAAAATAATTTTTTTTAAAGTTTTTAACCAGTGTTTAAAAATATAATAAAATAAAACACAATAGGCTATATAATTAATAAAAAGAATATATAGAAGGTATCACATGTTATTAGCTTCAATAAATATTATTTTGTGACACTTTTGTATCTTATACACAGGGGTTATTATGTAAAATAAAATGCTCGATATAAGATACAGAAATAGAACTTCCAGGGACAAAAATCTCCCTTTAGTGATTTTGTTACACTGATCAAGGTTGTGACTATCTAATTAGTCTACTTCATAGACATTGCCTGCAGAGAATTTCCAGTCAGAAAAATAAAATAAAAAATTGAAGCACATTCCATTTTAATCTCATCAGTCCCTGAAAGTTTCACAACAGAGAGCTACAGTAAATTCTGTGTGACCTGTGCTTTTTCCCGGCAGGAATTCCAGCTTCTGTTGCTCTCGATAAGCATGGCAGCTTGCCAGTGTTCTCCGCAGAGTTTAAAGAGTAACACGGCACCAGCATTGGTTGACTTAGCAAAATTTATATTATTCTTTGGTCAGTTAGGCCACACCTGCTAGTTATAGTCAACTAAGGATGCTTGTGTGGCAGGCACAAAAAAGAAAATAAAGCAAAAGGTAAAACCATAATACCTTCCCACTGGCATCCCATGTCCTAATGTGTTAATATTTTTAAAAAAATCAGTTGAAGTACTAATTTTTTTTTTTGGAGAGTTTTTTTCTATAAGGTGCGTGAGCTCACCAGAAAGACAGAGAGAGACAGAAAGCAAGAAATCAGCCCCAGGGAGAATGGCTATGCCACAATCCCTTCTTATCCATTCTCCTCTTGGAATCTTGAACACACACACACACACACACCACACACACGCACACACACACACACACACACACACACACACACTGAGCATGAGTTTAAGCCACCGGGTCTGGGACTAGAACCACATGAGAGTCCAGTGTTTTAGCCACTACACCAACTGCTGGTCCCTTGAAGTACTAATTTTTATTTTATTTTAAAAACTTAATTAGTTTGAGACTGGCAGGTGGCATGGTGGTTCAGGCTCTGGACACTCCCACATGGCCAACCACAGTTCAAGGCTTGGATCTGGTGCCTTGCTTTCTCACTTTCTCTCTCTCTATTTCTCTCTGGTCAAATTTAAAATGAATGAATGAATAAATAAATAAAATATTTTAATAAATAAATTTAATTAGTTTGTTTACATTCAATCACTGTTTATCATTACAGCATACCAAATGAATTTTCCCATCCTGAATGTACTGTATATTAGTTTGGTGAAAGATATTACCATACATATTATCATTAACAGATAATTTTCCATTTTTGTGTCCCTTAAATGTTTTGTTTCTTTTTGCCTTTTCAACATTCTTCGCTGATTTTTGTTATAACATCTTGCTAAGTGTCCTGCTCAACCCACCACACTATGATAGTACAAAAAACAATAATGGCACCAACATGACAAATATGATTATTAACTACTAACATTTAATAAAATCATACTACATCTTATATTTCTATGTCTAAAACAGAGCCAAGATTGTGTGTGTGGGGGGTGGGTGGAGAGGGGGTCTATATATAGAATCTCCTTATAATAACTCAAGAAATATATACTCAAAATATAACCATGTTGCAGATTAGGAAGTCAAGACATATGCCATATGTAGAAATTTGGATTTCATACTGTGGGCAAGAGAAACTGCTTATTATACATAGGTGACGTGTTTCTATTTTAGTAAATAATTACTGCTGAGTTTAATGCAAAATGTAGGGACGAAATTCAAAAGGGGGTAAAACTTTTCAAGGAATGATTATCCACTCTCTCTTCAATATCTCTGGCCCTCCCTTCACATATACTCAATCATACACTCTTCTCTAACCACGTCATCGCCGTTGGGGCTTCATGTCTCACTTGAACTCACCTCTCCTCCTGTTGTGGTTCTGTTCTTCTGTTGAGCACTAGAAATCCCCATTCTTCTGTCAAGGCCAAGCTCACTTTTGCTACGTCTATGAAGCAATACCTACACGCCATTTGCCTGTATGAGTAGAATGATGGAAGTTGGAAACCCACCAGGTTTGCTCTGTCCCTTTTACATTGTATGGCCCTGAGTAAGTTCCTTAATGTTTCTGTGATTTTGTCCTCAATTATAAAATGATAATAACATGTCCTACCTTGAGGACTTAGTAGCAGGGTTAATGATGATCCTTGGAGCCTAGTAAGTACTTAGGAGATGGTACTATTTATGATGGTACTATCTTTTCCAAAGACCCCCAGGCAGCATGAATATTTCCTTCTCTATCTTCTTATGAAACTTTCTATCTTTATAAAAATTAGCCAAATTACTTTAGAATTATACTATTCTATGAACAAAAGGAAAGACAGTTACGCAATTTCTTATTTTTAGAGAGATTTTTCCTATAGGGTGCATGCAATTGCCAGAGAGATGGAGAGAGACAGAGAGACAGAAAGCAAGAAATCACCCCCCAGGGGAGATGACCATGCCACAATCCCTTCTCCTCCATTTTCCTCTCAAGATTTTTGGGCACACGTGTCTGGCATGAGTTTTAAGACCTGATCTGGGACTCGAACCTTAGTCAACTATGTGGGAGTCTAGCAACATAACCATTATGCCAGCAGCTAGCCCCTGGTTACTCATTTTTGAATCTTAGGATATAGCACAATGTTTGGAACAAGGCAAGATGCCCTCTATAGAGAATTTGTTGAAATGAATGAGGTGGGTCTTATGGGGCCAAGTAAGGGTAATGACAGGCAGAATAGATAAATGTTTGAAACTTCTACCATAGAAGTTGATAACTGCAACACCCATTGTCTGACCAGCAACAGTGTTTTGATGCTCAGAATAAAAAGCAAACTGATAAAACCCAATAGACTTGAGGCCAGCAAATGGCACAGTGGTTATGTCGCTGGATGCCCACATGGCCAACTGTGGGTTGAGTCCCAGACCTGGTAGCTTGAAATTCATGCCAGGGATGTGTGAATGCATGCCCAAGATCCTGGGAGGAAAATGGAAGAGAAGGGATAACGCATGACCATTCCCTTGGGGGGCGAGTTCTCTCTGACTGTATCTCTCTTTCTCTCTGTCTCTCTAGTGAGTGCGCACACCCTATAACAAAACAAAACAAAAAATACCTCTCAAAAAAAGTAAAAAAAAAAAGTATGCTATGTCAGCAGTCTTGTTTGTTTCTTTTCTTTTGTTTTTGGTACAATTTGATTGTAATGTGTCTTGGCTTGATTTTCTTCACTTTCTTTTTCTGATTGGAGATTATTTAGCTTTCTGAATCTAATTAATGTCAGATTTAGACAGTCTTTTGACATTTCCTCAAATATTTTTTTCCTGGCTCTCACTCACTCCTATTATTTTCTGAGACTTCAATTACAATTACATGTATACTAGGCTGCTTGACATCTGCTTCATATTCTTTCTTTCTTTCTTTCTTTCTTTCTTTCTTTCTTTCTTTCTTTCTTTTTTTTTTTTACTATAGGGCATATGTGCTCACCAGGGCACTTGCTGCACCTGCCATGAGTTTTAAGCCACCAGGTCCAGGACTTGAACTGCAATCGACTATGGGGGAGTCCAGTAACATAATCATTACATTATCTGCTGTTCCTTACTTTAAATATTTTTTGTATTTGGCTCTGGGATGCAGTTAGGTCTTAATGAGCCTTTCTAGGATTGTTTCTTACCTTAGTCTGAATCCACAATATCTTTTCGAGTAGGACTAATTTGACCCTCCCACTACTGAGGAATACCCTTCTAAAAACTCTACCTTAGCACCTGACTACAGGTGTACTTTGACTACATTGACATTAATTCCATAAGGTAAGAAATATGACAGCATTCTGTGTTTCTAGTTTAGAATTTTGTTGATTTCGGGACCATACCTAAATGATTAATTGGCTATAAATTGAAAATCTTTGGATTGCAGAGGAATTTCTGTAATAATATACTTATCTGGGTGTAATCCTTTTTGTCACATAGTTATAGTTATTTCCCCTCTAGCTTGTGTAAATATTCCTCATGAAAATAATGGAAAATAGCCAAAACTTTATGAGATAAAAGACAGCTCTACTGTATGTCTGTGACAATTACAACTAAGACAAAACCAAAGTCGACAGCTGTATTTAAAATCCTGAGCTCCCAACATGACCTTATAAAAATTCAATGTCTACATACTGTTCTTTAAATTATGTTCTTGAGTATTCAGACCTTGGGTGGTGGGTCTGTTTTACTCCATAATTTGAGAGTTTAGAAAAATTTGCATTCCTTTCTTTTCCTTTTTCTTTTTTCTTTTCAGAAGGTGTGTATATTCACTGGAGAGAGACAATGCAATCCCTTCTCCATTTCTCTATCCTGTTGGGATTTGAGGCATATGCATACACAAGTGGTTAGCATGTTTTTCAAGCTGCAGGTTCAGGATTCAAATCCCCAGTCGGTCATGTGGGATCTGCCTCCTTTACGCACTAAGCTACAAAACCAACCCAACATTTCTTTATTTTCTTTAAATCAGATTAATTTCGATCTATGCTCTCATTCCACCAAAAAGAAAACTATCCAGTCTCAGTTATGATCGTGGCCTCCTACCCACACTCTCTGGAAGTATGAAGGTCCCAGAGGATTTTATGCATAACAAAACATTCAAGGGTGTCTCTCTGGACTTTGGCTTATACTTGTTTTCTATGAAAGGACAAATATTGACATAGTCACTAAAGGGCAGCAGCATGTAGCTTTTATCCCATTCTGTAGCACAAAAATTTTGGCTACAGTTGGTAACACTGGTGCTTGCCAGTCTCCCAAGAACAGTGTGTGTCCATTCTTCTTTAGTCTTGCTACCTCTCTGGAAGAAGAAAGCTGAGAGAAAATCCAAACTTTTTAATCATGGCGGGACCAGCCACTTTTCACTGCTCTTCTATGTCTTTGCTCTTCTATGTCTGTGACACCTAGCAAGGAACCAGTTGAGTTCAAAAAGAAGGGAAGACGCTGGGGACCAACAGGTGGTGTGGTGGTTAAGGCACTGGATTTCCACATGGCTGACTTCAAAGTCTCATGAGAGACCCAGCTTGGAGAGGAGCTTGGGGAAAGTCAAGAGGGCCCTGTTCCCTTATTGGCAATAATTTCCCCATCTTCTCCTTCTGAGGCATGTTAGTAGGTAAGCATAACCTTAAAAAATTAGTCTATCATATATTTCCTCATTTATTCTGAAACTTAGCATCTAGGTAATTTAGTATAGATGATTCATTACAATGTGTGAAAATAATTTGTTTCTGAACCTAGTGCTTCAGTAATCTTATGGTTATTGCATTAACAGAATTGAGACTTCCCCACATTTTAATTAATAATAAAGATATCTAACAAATCACACAAGTAACTCTTAATTTGGCATTACTGTCTATAGAATACAAATAATGTAAACATTTCAATTACAATTTAACTATTGGTTTTGCTGAAATGAGATGGAGAGAAAGTATTTTATATGATACATAAATTATGCATACCTTTATTTTGTGCACTTTAAAACAGCCCGTGTAATAACCGAACACCCGGATATGAAATGATAAATTTAGTTGCCTCGAATATTTTGTTAATGCTCAATAAAATCCATGGCTTTGCATATTTTAAAAATGTTATTGATATATATTTGTCAGGGTAGAGGATAGGACTTGTTTTAGTTAATATTTGGTTAGCTTATTTAGAAAACTTTAGATACTTATGGGAATGCTGGCTTTTCTTTGAACTCTCCCTCAAGACCTTATAATTTATAATTATTAGATATGGATCTGATGAATCATGGAGAGGCAGGGGAGTGCATTTGGAGGAGAAATAAAAAAATGTATTTGAGAACACATGACTAAAGAGATTTGGAAAAAAAGATTTGAATTTGGAAAAAAAGCTGAATAGTGTTATTATAATGTATTTTGAGTTGTGCTCATTTTGATACCCACTCAGATTTATTACTGCTCTGAAATAAGAATTACTTATTTATGTTTTCATCTATACATTATTTTATAAGGGCATAAAGGCAGCAGTGCTTAATGAATTGAACCAGGAGATTCCCGGGAAGGACTGGAAATGTAGTATACATAACAGGTTTCAGTGGTTAAGACCTCAGGTGAGAAAGTCATTAATTTAATTTTTAATTTAATTCAACTTATTAATTTATTTCCCTCCTTTACGCACTAAGCTACAAAACCAACCCAACATTTCTTTATTTTCTTTAAATCAGATTAATTTCGATCTATGCTCTCATTCCACCAAAAAGAAAACTATCCAGTCTCAGTTATGATCGTGGCCTCCTACCCACACTCTCTGGAAGTATGAAGGTCCCAGAGGATTTTATGCATAACAAAACATTCAAGGGTGTCTCTCTGGACTTTGGCTTATACTTGTTTTCTATGAAAGGACAAATATTGACATAGTCACTAAAGGGCAGCAGCATGTAGCTTTTATCCCATTCTGTAGCACAAAAATTTTGGCTACAGTTGGTAACACTGGTGCTTGCCAGTCTCCCAAGAACAGTGTGTGTCCATTCTTCTTTAGTCTTGCTACCTCTCTGGAAGAAGAAAGCTGAGAGAAAATCCAAACTTTTTAATCATGGCGGGA